AAAAATAAAAAGCTATTGTATTCGAATAAAACATGATTTCCCCCCCCTCCCCCCACAAAGGTAGCGCCTGCCCTTGTGCTCCCCGTTGCTAACATGTTGCATGTTTCAGGGCTCTCTCTCTCTCTATCTCTCTTACACACACACTCACTTACTCTCATATACATGCACACACGCACACCTATACACTCACTCACTCTCACATACACATGCATATATACACACAAATACTCTTTTTTATTTTCCTTAAAAAAATTTCGCTTTAGCCCACTAGAGGAGGTGATACTAGCATCCTCCTATAGTGGACTTACAACAAAATGCTCATGTCTATTAGTGGGGAGTGACAACTGTTGGAAAATGGGTTTAACATCTAGTGAACATCGTGAATAAAGGAGCAGCCACCCCCCCCCACACACACACTCTTTGAGTTGTGTATAGTGAGCATGACAAAACATAAACATAACATAATCACAACAAAATCACTAGCTTCCCCTTCGCCAACCACATTAACAACCAAACTCTAAAGTGCCTCGGAGGTAGCATTTTTTATTTTTGAAAGAACTACCGGTCCTCCAACCGCGCTCGCACTTCCATGTACATCGTTGTTTCCACTTCTTTGAAAAAGAGGGCCACCTCCGGCTCTCGCGGAAAGCAGTGGGATCCCAAAATTTACCAAAAAGTGCCTCGGCTATAAGAAGTGGGGTTAGACTTTAACCAACTGAGCTAGGCCACTGAATCTCTATTCCTTGTTATGAAATAAAATTTGGATATTAAGATTGAAAAACCAAAAGCAAAAGATATCAACATTGAACTGACTGACCCCACACAATTCAAATTGATTTTTTTTTTTTTCATCTGAAGGTATCCGTATTCAAACTTGAGCGTGTATATCAACAGTTCAGGTGTGTATCGACTGAGCTAGTTGTGTTCAACTACACAAGTTGATATCAAGTTTTAAACCACCGGTACCTTTCCCACTATTTTTTCAGAGACGTGTCGGGTAACACGCTGACCTGGAACGAAAGGGTGACCAATCATAAATTGAATAGGCGGCCACTCTTGATTTTCGGTCTGGCCGTACACACACCGACATATGAGAAAGGTACTGGTGGTTAATCAATACAAGTCGTCAAGCATCACCACCATGCAAAATATGTAGATAACGCATAGGAAATTCACACAACATGCAGATCACACATTGAAGCAGATAGCGAAAGGAGGGCAATTGTCGAAAGGAGAGGAGGAGTAGACACAATACGTTATTATCGAGAAATCCCCCGAACGCACCTAGGGTGCCTACCAGTGCTCCTTAGGGGTCTTCGTCCTTGTCATTGCAAATGAGCTACCTTCTTCCCCTGAACATAACACATATGCATTGTATTCGAGATCTGAATCACAATATAATATGTACAATAAATCAAATATCCATATTGATAATTATAATAATCTAATTATGTTATAAATACAATATCAATTGCAGTACCTTCTTTACAAATAGAGGGGGGACACTCTGAATACAATGCAAATGCCTTATATTCTAATAAAACGCATATGGGTT